TGAGCCATCCGGGCTCATAAAAGCAGCTCATTTTCTGATTCATCCCAACAGATTGCTAAATATTATTTACTTTTCGTTTCATAATGGCTCGGAAAAAGCTGGATGAAAAGCTTAACGAGGTCTAATCCAGGGGAGAGGAGGGAGAAAAGGAATGAAGAGGCAGTTAAGGAGCAGTTTGAGCTTCCTTATCGCCCTTATCAGCACAGCTATCAGTCAGCAAGGCCTAATTAGGCACAAAAGCCATTGTGCTTCATCCAGAGCTTCTCCAGGAGCTGGGGCTGGAGCTCTGACTGAGCCTCTGCTTGGGAACAGCACTGCCACAGCAATTAGGGACAATTTGTCCCCTTCAGGAGTGGCCTCTGTGGCTCTGCAGGGTCTTGGGGACAGAGAGGTTTTCTCAGCAGCAGCGACACTTTTGGAGACATTTTGGGGCTGGGATTCAGCAGAGTTCAGTGAAATCCTCCAGACTTTGCTGCTTTGTGGTGACCAACCCATCCTGAGCTGGGGACAGAGAGGTTTTCTCAGCGGCAGCGACACTTTTGGAGATAAAACAGAGACATTTTGGGGCTGGGATTCAGCAGAGTTCAGTGAAATCCTCCAGACTTTGCTGCTTTGTGGTGACCAACCCATCCTGAGCTCCTGCAGGAACTCCGGAGCAGGGAAGAAATTCCTGGACCTCACTTCCAACTCTGACCAAGGTTTGCTCCAGGAGTGGGGTTCAGTTTTGCATTCCCTTTATCCTTTTACCTCAAAATCAATTCAGGTTGGAAAAGACCTTTAAGGAAATGGAGTCCAACCCTTCCCAGCAGCACCACAGTCACCACTGGCCCATGTCCCCAAATGCCACATCCATGTGGGTTTTGGTCACCTCCAGGGATGGAGACTCCACCACTGCCCTGAGCAGCCCTTCCAACGCCTGACCACCCTTTTAGGGAAGGAATTTTCCCAAATATCCAATCTAAACCTGCCCTGGCCCAGCCTGAGGCCGTTCCCTCCTGTCCCTGTTCCCTAGAGCAGAACCCAACCCCCCGGCTGTCCCCTCCTGTCAGGAATTGTGCAGAGCCAGAAATTCCCCCTGATCCCCCTTTTCTCCAGGCTGAGCCCCATCCCCAGCTCCCTCAGCCTCTCCTGGTGCTCCATTCCCCTCCCTGGCCATGCTCCAGCCCCTCCATGTCCGTCTGTCCTCGGACAGGTCAGTGAGGTCCCTCAGGAGGGACCCGTGGCTGTGTCCAGCAGCTCGGCGTGGATTCGCTGCCCAGCAGGGCTCCTGCCCCAGCAGCTGCTCCCACAGCTGTTCCCACCAGTTGGTGGCTGAATTTTCCAAGATATCTGTCTGGAATTAAAAAGCAGCAGCAGCAGCAGTTTGGCAGCCAGCAGGAAAAGTGCATCAGTGGATTGCATCCCACCCCGAGCACCTCCCTGGTGGGACAGGAGAGATGAGACCAGGCAGGACCTGCCCATCCCAAAACCCCTTTAATTATCTGAACTGCTCTGCCAAAACCTCCACCAGCATCCAAAGGCTCCTTCTGGAATGTTTGGGTCAGAAATGTCCATGTTTGGTGGCCTGTGCCATCAAAACTGCTCCGTGCCAGGAGACCTGGGCACAGGGAGCTCTGCAGGGCTCTGGGATTCTCCTGGCTCTTACTCGAGGGGATTTGCTCTGCTGTGCCTGTGCCAGGCTGCACTCCCACATAAAGCCTGGAACAAGGCAATGGTGAGGGAGTGAAGGCTCCCCCATCCCCATCCCAATCCTGGCACCTCCTAAGAGGGGTTGGAAAGCTGCTCCAGCCCCCCTGGGAGATGTCCTGGGAGCTCCAGAAAGAGCCTGGAGTGGCTCAGAACCTTCCAAGGCAGATTTTCCCAGAGTGGCTGTGGGATGGAGCTGCTGGGCTCTGGGAATGATCCCTGTGGGGCAGGCAGGGGCAGGGGGACACGCTCAGCCACGTTCCCCCTCGCACAGGCAGGGACCTGAGCCTGCCTCTGCCTCCCCTGGCAGGTGGGATGATGTCCCAGGCACTGTGGGATCCATGCCAGAGGCTCCATGGAAGCAGAATTCCAGCTCCAGCCTGCAGTCCTGCCTCGTGGATTTGTCAAGCCCGGTGTCCACAGCAGATAAATCTGAATAAGCCTGATGTCAGGCACACCTGAGACCCAGGGCAGCTTCTCCCTGCAGCAGCTGCACCAGAACAGCTTCCACTGAGGGAAAACTCCCCTTTCCTGGCATTTCTTGCAGGGCAAAGAGCCCTCTAACCACAGTGAAACAACAGCAAGCCCAAAAAGAGATAAACAAACCCATGGATGGCAGATCCCAGGACTTCTCCTGCCAGGTGCCACCCAGGTGTGTCCATTTCGATGTGGTGATGTGGACACATCAAGCTCCAGGACACCACAGGACCTGGGATCCCATCCCACAGCCACTCCAGGTGCAACCCACGTGCTCACCTTGGAGCCCCTGGCCTGGACAGCACAGAAACCCAGGGAGAAGGAGGTGAAATTCCCTGTTTGTGGTGTCTTGCCAGGCTGGGATTAGAGTCTGGGGCTCCTGGCACCCACAGGCACCGTAAATCCCCCGAGCCTCAGCCCAGGCAGTTTCCAGGAGCCAAAGCTGTGCCTGGTGCTGCAGCAAAGTCTTCTCCAGCTCCAGCAGAGCCTGAATTCTCTCCCACACTTCCTGGAGCCCATCTCCTCCTGAGGGACCCAGGAGGGTCAGGCTGGTAGGAAAATCCCTCTCCTGTGCCAAGCATGCCATTCCCGTCTCCAAATGGCACAGACAGCCCTGAGTGAGGAGCAGAGCCCCAGCAGGGCTGGGATGAAGGCCCTGCACACCAGAAGGGAAGGAGGAAAGGAAAATGACCCATTTAACCATAACACCACTGGACTGTCCCATCCACAATTCCTGACAAAAGTGGAAATGTTCTTTTCCACGGGCAGAGCTGCAGGTCCTACTACAAATAAATAGTCCAGGCAGGGATGGAGGCCATGTGTTTCCATTAATTCTCTTGGCACAGGAGCCCATGTAGATCTTGGATGCAGCTCGTGCTGGAGCAGGAGAGCTGGGGTGGCCAACATACATCTCAGCACAACCCATCTGGCCCAAATCCATCCCCAGCCTGCTCCAATCCCCACTTTTATCATCCTAATTACGAGCAGATTCCCAGCTCCCTCCCTCCCTCACAGAGGTACCTTCAGCTGCCCCCTTTTCTCCCTCCCTCTGGCTGGAATCAGCAGGTGAATCCCAGCCTTTAGGTATTTCTGTCCCATTATTGCTGGTAGACAAAGTTTGGCCTCTTTCATTTTCCTTTTCTCGCAGCCTCTTTTGTGGGGATTAAAATAATTGATATTGATAACGAGATCTGCCCCCTGCCCCTGGTCCCAATTACTTGCACAGGCTGGGGATCCTGCCTTATGGATCTGACAGGAATGGTCTCAATTATCTCCTCTGGGCTCCAGGACTGATGCTGGGATTGATTTGGGAGCGCTGGGATTATTGGGGCTGATTGTTGTGGGCCGGGGTCAGCGCCGGCTGCCTCGGAGCTGCATTTTCCCCGAGTGCTGCCAGGTGCCTGGAAAAGGGGATAATTTACTGCAGCCACCCCCATGCTCAGCATTAGAAGGACAGCACTGAAGGGGCTTTTCATCCCAGGTTTTACTGGGGATGAATTTGGATCCTGGGTGCTGGGTGAGAGCCAAGGAGCAGCAGCTTTTGGACAGGCCCAGCCTCACACTGAGGGGGAAACCCCAGTGACAGTAAATGAGAACGACACAGAAAAGGAGATTTAAAGCTGAGAAGGCAAACAAGAGCTTTTTGGACCTGCAAAATCTTATTTCATAAAGTTATGGAGCTGTTAAAGTTGGAAAAGCCCTTTGAGATCATCAGCAAGAGCAACACCAGCCCTGTTCATCAACATGTCCTCAAGTGCCACATCCACGTGGGTTTTGGTCACCTCCAGGGATGGAGACTCCACCACTGCCCTGAGCAGCCCTTCCAACGCCTGACCACCCTTTTAGGGAAGGAATTTTCCCAAATATCCAATCTAAACCTGCCCTGGCCGAGGCTGAGGCCGTTCCCTCTCCTCCTGTCCCTGTTCCCTGGAGCACAGCCCAACCCCCCCGGCTGTCCCCTCCTGTCAGGAGCTGTGCAGAGCCAGAAATTCCCCCTGATCCCCCTTTTCTCCAGGCTGAGCCCCTTCCCCAGCTCCTCCTCATCAGACTTGTATTCCCAAATATTTGATGGCCACAGATTCCAGGGCACGGACATTTTAACACCCTGGGCCACTTGCAGGGGCTGTGAGGTGAATCCAGGGAAGGGAATATTCCTTCAGGACCAAGGGAATATTCCTTCCACCAATATTCCTTCAGGACCAGAGCTTCTCCCCCTGGGATCATCACTGGATGCAGCATTTTCCTTTTTACCACCATTTATATAAAACTCAAATTCAAAAATAGAGGTGAGGAGAGAAGGGGAACCAATTTTGCCTCTGTAACCAGAGAGGAGATGAACCCAGAGCCAGCAAAAACCCCCAGTTTATAAATCAAAATGCAACATAATCACTGCAACAGATGTCAAAAAGATAAACCCACGGGGTTCTGAACTGCCAAGGATCTGCTCTGCGTGTTGGAGAGCACAGGGATGCTCTGATTCTGTCAAATGGCCACTTTTGGGGGGTGTAAGCAGGAACAGCACCACAAAAAAACTCCTTTCTATTCTCTCCTTTCCCTGCCCTGCAGCAGATTTACAGTGGAAGTTCTCAGTAAATCTCAGGTTTGCTCCTGGATCCACGATGGGGAGGGGAGGGAAGCAGAGAAATTGGTCTTTTAGGACTGTGGTTGGGAAAAACAGCATCACCCAGCTGGCACGGGGACATGGCCTGAGTGCCAGAGGCTGGGATAAAGAGGGAAAACATGGAGAGCTGCCTGGCAGGAGAGGAAAGGTTGGGGGAAATTATTTTACAAAAGAAAAGCAGACAAGAGAAATGAGGTTTTGTGTGCACATCACTCACCTCGTAGTGATAATCCATGCAAGTTAACTCTCTCCAGCAGCGATCTCCTCGGATTTTAATCAGCCCCTAGGGGAAAAAAAGGGCAAAAATACTGTCACAATTATTTTATTTTACTTTGGTTTGTGTCTCAAGGTTTGTGTCTGCCAACTTCTGTGGTTAAACTGCAGGGGTTGAATGAGACCCACGGCACATCCACAGCCTGGGTCCAGTTGTGGTTCCCAAGGGAACACAATGGATCTGACTCATTCCACTGCCTGCTTACTGAAAATCTGACATAAATCCTTGTGGAATATGCCAAATTCCCCTTCCAGGAAGAAGCCTCAGGCACAGCTGAGCCTTTGCTCAGGTCTGAACAGCCCAGGGCTCCTGGCATCGCTTCCAGCATCCCTGGGAAGCAGCAATGGGGAAAACCAGGCTCTGTCCCTGGGATAACAGACAAAACCCAGCAAGATTCACAATTTTAACATCCAAACCCAACTGTTTCCCTCAGGCAAAGCCACCTCTGCTGCCTGTGGAAAAGAGAGCAGAGCCACAGATCTGGGGATGGGGACACGGAGCAGGGATGGGGACACAGAGCTGGACACAGAGATGCAATTAAAATAATTAGAGAAACAAAAGAGGGGCAGGGGAAGGAAGCTGCCAGCCCCAAACACAGCTGGCTGCACTGCTGACAGCTCTGCCCCACCTCAGGTTAGAGGTTGGGCCAGCAGGTATCCCCTGCCCAGGGACTTCAGAACAACGAGAGGGGACATTTCCAAATCACTGGGTCCATTCCAGGGCTGGCAGCAATATTGGGATTGAATTTCTTTGCCTCAGAGATGAAGAGCAGAAAGGAATCAGTCGGCCAGAGCAGGAAAGACACCTGGGCAGGGATGGGCTGGAGCAGGAAGCTGAGCAATCAAGGCTGGCTTTGATGTCCGGGAGAGGTCCCTGATTAGGATCACAATATCCCAAATTGAGGAAAGCTTCACTAGTCAAAAGGCTGAAGCAGCTCTGTCATCTGCATACAATTAAGGGGTATTTGCCTACCTCTGACATTGCCCTGATTGTGATGGTCCTGCCTTCCCCAGGAGAAAAACCCTGCAAGTTTCTGGGAGCATCCTGAGGCTTCCTGACATTTGCAGCAGGGAAGGGATCAGTGACCTTCCAGTGCTAAAATCTGAGCTCAGAGGAGGAGATTCCAGCATTTATGAATTCCATCTAAATTCCCAGAATTGGAACAGTGAGAGCACAGTGGCTCCTATGCTCCAACCTCCCTGCTCACGCTAAAACAAATCTTCGCTTGCAGCATTAAATAAAGTGCAACACATTTGCAGCTCAGAAGAAATTAAAAATCCCAGTTAAACTGTGCAGACCTTGGAAATATTCAGGAATATCCAGTTCCCAGGGCTGTATATCTGTCTGTCTAAAGAAATTAAAAATCCCAGTTAAAGACCCTCCAAAACTGTGCAGGCCTTGGAAATATTCAGGAATATCCAGTTCCCAGGGCTGTATATCTGTCTGTCTGTCTGACAGCTGAGAGCACAGGGCAGAGCAGAGTTTATGAACTCCTGCCTGGCAGAAAAGGGATGCAGAGCGACATCACCCAGGATTTCTGGGATGGCAAAGCAGTTTTATCTCCCGGGATTTATTCAGCACGTCCCCTCCATCCCTCTGGAGCAGGGACAAGACACCCTCACTGTCAGCAGCCACTCCATCCTCCCCTCCCCAGGCTGTCCTGCCCTCCAAGCTTTTCTAAAATTACAGGATCTGGTGATAGCATCTCCCAGGATGTGCTGCAGCTCCAGCCCTGGCAGGGCCAGCACACACTGAGGAAGCTCTGTGCAGGAATGCTGGAATATTAAAACAGGACAGTTATCTTGATGACCTTCCCTCCTCCCTCCCCAGGCTGTTATCAAGCTCTATTATCCAGCAGGAATAATTAAAACTCCAATTAAAACAAGGATGGGGAAAGCAGCGCTCTGAAAATTCTGATTTTCCCTGCAATGACTCACTCAGGCAGTTCATCCCTTTTTGTTTACTAGGAAGCTTTCAAACAGGAAAGTCTTCATATCAAAGATGTTTTGCAGCATAAAAAACTCCCACTCTCATCATTAAGGGGTTTCAAGTCAGCTTTACCCTGAGCTGGCTTCGAGGCCACCTCACTCCCACATTGGCACCTGAGTTTTCCAGTTTTCCCAAGGATTTGGATCAGAAACGTGCACAGAAAAATCTCTGCGTGCTGAGGCTTCAGCTCTGCTGAGAAGAGACAGGAAAGGAGAAGGAGAATCACAGAATCCTGGAGCTGCTGAGGCTGGAAAAGATCTCCGAGCACCAGGCACCCCACGGCAGCTCCGCACATCCTGGGGGCTGCTGGAAATCGGGAAGTTCTCAGGAATACAAATTAAATCTGAGCTCAAGGCAAGCAACCAGGTGGCCAAGTGAACCAGCAGAAGCCCTTTCACCTCCGTGGCCTCGCTCTGAATCCAGGATTATTAAATTCCCACTGCTGGCTGGTGGCTGCAGGGACACGGGGTCGGGCGCTGGTGGCACTCCGGCTCCTCGGGATAATGAGAGCTCCTGGCCTGGGAAAGGGGAACTTGAGGTCCTTGTCACAGGAATTTACAGCAGGAGCAGCAGAAAATGTTGCCCCTGGATTGAATTAAGCTCCGGAATGAAATATGGGCTCAATTCCTCCTCCCCTGCCAGGTTTGCTCCCTGCAGGGCATGGCCAAGGAGCTGGGGCAGGATGGAGATGCAGCACCTGCTTGGACCTGGAAAACCCCAAACTCCAAACTCCCCTAATTAATTAAGGGGAATTAAATCCAGCAGCATTTCTCACAGGGCAAGGAAAATTACATTTAGGATTTTTTCTTTTTTTTAGATTTACTTTAATGGAGGATAATAAAATTCCTGGGTTTAATTACTTTGCCCCTACACCAGTCCTGCTCTGGAATACAGAATAAAACATTCCCAAAGCAGGGAAAGGGTTCCCATATTACAGGATAACAGAAAACAGAATCCAGGGGGATCCATCAGAGATCCAGCCCCCACCTGAGGGGAGGGAAGAGCTCAGCTCCAACACCAAATCCTGCCCTTTCATCTTCCTGTGATGGCTGTGCCCAACTGTGCCCCTTCCAGCCTGCTGTACTTGGGTGATTCAAAGCGAAAAAAAGCCAGAATAATTAAAATGTCATTCAAGCCCTAAGCCCATATGAGTCACTGTTCCAAAAAATATCTGAAAAATTCCTTCAGGAGTGGGGGATAATTATATTCCTCCCTATCTATTGATTTTTCTCTACAATGCAGATGTCAGATTTTCCACGGCTTTTTTTTTTTCCTTTTTCTCCTCTTTTTTTTTCTTTTTTTTCTTTTTTCCCTGGAGTGAGTGTCAAGGAGGAACAAAGCACTTCTTTGAGACTTTTTCAGCCCAAAATTAATTCTGAAAAAAATGGTACAGACAGGCCAATAGCACGGGAAGCTGAGCAAAAGCTTGGTGACTCAAGCTATGTCTGCAAAATTCCCAATTGATCCCGGCTCCAGAGGGAAGGGTGGGGAATGGGGCACCCACGTTATAAATTTAGAGTCAATTTAAAGACCTTTCTGTGTTTTTGCTGTACAAAAGATGGGCAAAAACCCACCCAAAGTTCCCAACTAAATTCTAGATTTTCATTTTGCTCCTGCTATAAATAAGGAAAGCTTCCAGGGAAAATCCCAACTCCGTGCACTTCCCACCTCTGCTACCCACAGGAAAAGTGGTTTCACCATCTCTGTGAAAGCCAAACCCTCACCAGGGTATTCTGAGACAAATTTACACCCCAGTTTGTGGGAGAGGAAGGAGCTTCCCAAGGTGAAATCTAAAAATAAAACCATTTCTGGATTAGAGGGCAGGGCTGGAAGAGGCTCCTGGAGAACCTAAATCCGAGGAATCCAACAAGACCGACTTCAGCTGGGGGTCTAAAACCCCCTTAGAGCCCCAGGACTCCAGACCTTCCCCATCTCCTTCCCTACTGATGGATCAAGGTCCGTGGTGCAGGAAGGATGAGCTGGATCCTGGCTTTTCTGTTCTGCAGGGAATGTCCCACAGGGAGCAGGTGACACAGGTACAGCTTCTTCTACAGCTGTGACAGCAGCAAGCCAAAGGTGACAACCAGAACTGCACCTGATGTTCCCACCAACCTCACTGAATTCAGATCCCTGCTGCTCTTTCCATGAGAAAAGAGGAATAACAGGATGCTCCATGCCTGGAAGGGTTTGAGGACAGGCTGGATGGATGCTCCATGTCTGGAAGGGTTTGAGGACAGGCTGGATGGATGCTCCATGCCTGGAAAGGTTTGAGGACAGGCTGGATGGATGTTCCATGCCTGGAAGGGTTTGAGGACCGGCTGGATGGATGTTCCATGCCTGGAAGGGTTTTAGGACAGGCTGGATGGATGCTCCATGCCTGGAAGGGGTTGAGGACTGGCTGTATGGATGCTCCATGCCTGGAAGGGTTTGAGGACAGGCTGGATGGATGCTCCATCCCTGGAAGGGTTTGAGGACATGCTGGATGGATGCTCCATGCCTGGAAGGGGTTGAGGACTGGCTGTATGGATGCTCCATGCCTGGAAGGGTGTTAGGACAGGCTGGATGGATGCTCCATCCCTGGAAGGGTTTGAGGACATGCTGGATGGATGCTCCATGCCTGGAAGGGGTTGAGGACTGGCTGTATGGATGCTCCATGCCTGGAAGGGTGTTAGGACAGGCTGGATGGATGCTCCATGCCTGGGAGGGGTTGAGGACAGGCTGGATGGGGTTTAGAGCAATCTGGGATGGTGGGAGGTGTCCCTGCCCACAGCAGGATGGGCTTTAAGGTCTGTTCCAATACAAACCACCCCGTGGTTTACAGTTCCTTAGCCAGGGAAGGACGGCTTTGTGCTCTTCAGCTGGCTCTGCTTTGCTCTGCACTTTGCCCATCCCTTCCCAGCCCTGTCCAGCTCCAAGCCTGGCACCTCCACACCATCCTGAGAACACTGTGAGTATCCAAGGCCAGGCTGGATGGAGCCTGGAGTAACCTGGGACAACAGGAGGTGTCCCTGCCCACCTTT